GTTACAAAAAAAGGTATCCTAGGATAATGGGGACGGGTGTAACCACTGCTATAGGTAATTTTATGTATACCTGTAAGCAACAATAAACCATTGCTAACAAAAAAACGAATCTGAACGAAGTTCAGTTGATAGTGACACTTTATCAACTATATATATTATTAAAGTAAAATAGTTAAATAGGCTCTATGTATTTTCTTTAATAATATTTGTTTAATTTTGTACCGATTTCCTCAGTTTCTTTACGTTTTTCCCGATTTTCCCATATTTTATCTCGGTTTTTCACATTTGCCTGAAAAACTCTTGGGAAAATCGAAAAATGACATCTTTAAAGTACCTCCCTAGTAAAATTTCCTTTTAGAAATATTGCTATCATTCAAAGTTGGAATAAAATTATTAGTAGAAAAATTGTAAACAGAAAAAAAGAAGACCGTGATATATTTTAACTAATACCTACATTTCTTACATTTTCCTATTTTTTTTCGGTTTTTCAAATTTGATGAGAAAATTGACCTCCTAATGTACCTTCTCACGCTGATTTTCTTTTGGAAAAGATTCTACACGTAAAAATCTGAACAAGTCTTCTGGTAGTAAAAGTGTTTAAAGATAAAAAGAAATAATAATTAACATCTGTTTAAAACCATAAGCTTCTTCGCTCCACTCAGAATCTAAAATTAATTAAAACCGAGAGACATTTTTAATGATATGACACAATGATAGTATGCAACGTTGATATAGCTGCAACAGTGATACAGTGGATAACGAACGTTTTTAAATGGTTTAAATTTTTCATTAAAAAATTAGTTTATGGAACACACCCAGAGTGTTAAAACATCAGGACTGTATAATTAAATAAATAAATTCTTAGTATGTGAATAACAAAAACCCGTGTATAATATTATTATCATTTAATGTTTTAACTTTTTACAGATAAAATAGAATAAACCACTTATTTTTCTTCTTCGTCTTCTTTGCCTTTTGGGATCGAATACCTGACCTATCTTGAGTATCCTCATATCATTCTTAATCTTATTCAACCTCTTATTATCAGTATTTCTCTTCCTCTTTTTCCTCCTATGTTTATTTTCATTACTATTCTTACGGGTTCTCATTTCTCTCGACACATGACATGTGTCTATTTTCATTTTTGATTCAATCATTCTCTGTTCTATTTTTTTGTCTTTCTGTCTACTGCCCAATACTCCAAACCACAGACAAAGGTCTCACCACACTCTTGTAGAACTTACCTTTAAATCTCATTAGAATTCTTTTGTTATGATGATTCTCTCCGCTTTATCGAACCTCACTTAATTCTATGTTATAAATCATCTTCTTTTTTTTTTATTTTCACAAGTATCCGTTGTAGGAAAATTCACCCAAACCTTATTTATAAAGCCGTAAACTAACAAAATGTTTACATACTAGCTGTCAACCTGACGCAACACCATTTTTTTGTCACCTCTTAGAACAGTTTGAGGTACCATGGGAGTATTTGATTCCATCCCACAAGGATATCTCTATTGAATCCAGGGACGAATGAACGAATATGCCAAGCAGGCCTGGGTCTAGGGGCATTATACTTTAAGTTGTATAAGGGACAAAAATATTTTTCTATTGCCGTTAAAAAAAAAAAAAAAAATTGAAACCCGTAATTTCATTAAATTTTAGTTGAGTTATATCATCATAGATGGTGTTTGAAGTCTATGGCTTCTGGTGGTCCATATTATGTAGGACACTGTAAATAATTATTCTTATCGGTTTTACCTTATCATGTTCTATGATAATACTAAATCTACAATAACATAAAATGTATTAAATGTATTATCTCTATTAAATATTGAAATCAAATTTCTTTAAAGCTTGCATTATTCTGATATAGTTACTGAATTCACTACCAGAAAATCCAGTAAAAATTAGTTCAAATTAATATTTTATGTAAATGTAATTACTAAGCAATTAATATAATTCTCAGTTACTAAAAATTTATTTTTATTGTACTTTGTTTTTATAAAATTTCTTTCAGTGTAAAATACATGGTTAAAAAAAACACAAGAGATGAGCGAGTAATGTATTGGTTTTACAATATTTATTTTTTTTCCTGTAAACAACTTTTCTAACAGCAATTTTATTTTGATTTACAATGACAGCACTTTTTCTAAATTTAAATCTAACTGAGGTAATACTTTAAAGAGATACTTTTTTGATTTTCCCATCTGTTTTCATAATAAATGGGAAAAACCGGAAAAAACATGTAAAAACCGGGAGAATGGGAAAACAAGTACAATATTAAATAAATATTATTAAAGAAAATGTTTTATGCGTGTGTAATTATTTTATCGTAATATGACATATATATATACTGTTTACAAAGCAACACTATCAATTGAACTCCGCTCAGATTCTTCTTTTTTTTTTTGGTAGCAACTGTTTATCGTTGCGTATAGATATATATTGAATTTCCCCACTACCTTCCCAACTTCTCACCTAAAACAGTGATCCACTCACGTGCGAAGCATAATCGTCTTTTAGAACATGTGACCGTAAAACTTCCGTGTTTGGTTTGTGAACAAAAATGATAAATATAATAAGGGAGCCGTTTTATACAAGGCTTAAAATACAACCAATAGGTTTTAGTATTATACCATAGATACATATCAACTATATAATAGGTCGATGTAAGATACAATCGTATAAAATGGCCCATGGATATGAATAACGGAACAACCAATCAGCGCACATTACGCGGTTGACCGCTCTCGTATACTGATATAATATGTAAGCGTGGATATTTCTACACCGTGGATATATTTATGAAGTTCACAAGCGTATTAAAAACGTCATCAAGAAACGTTATGGGGAAACCTATAACTTCTTTGCCGTTTTCGGAACGAACCTTATTTGGTCCTTTGTGACGCCGCACCGCTGCAGTAAACAAATATTATTTTCATTTGGGAGTAGTATAAAATGGGTGCGCGCGATCCGTTTATTAAAATTCATCGTCGAAATAAATAGCATTTAATTTATTTCAACCGTGCCACGATGATAATAATAATAATCGTCGTTACGGGGTATACTCGCGAGATGGTATTTTCGAAAATATAAAATAAAAACGCAATAAGATACGGGTGACAGTGTTACGCAGCGCCGCGACAGCAGCGGGTTTCGAACCGTCGCGGTCGTCTTCTATACTTAGACTTGTCTAACGCTAACGCTTTTGGCTCTTTTTTTTTTTTAGATTTTTATTTTATAAACACCGTATAATATACGTCACATGAGCCTATATGTATGTTCACTTTTACAGAGATTACATTTTCTTCGTCAACACGAAATAGCTCTTAGGTAATAGTATACGCGCGTATTACAAAAGTCGAAGAGGTAAGTATAAAAAAGGTTTACGCTAACCCTATCATGCTCGCGATGCTCTTTCCCGGTTTATTGTTTATTGTTTTTTTTTTTTTTATTATTTAAATTATAAAAATATTATTTGCCGCTAAAATGTGCAATTATTTTCGAAGCAATTCTTATTTTTAGTTCTAAAGAAAAAAAAAACCAGACTGTTTTGTCGATGTTTAACTATTATATGTAGGCAACTGATTGAAATAGTAAATATTTCGCCCCGCGACTCAATAACTAGCACATCTCCATATGACGGCTTTAACCGACTATTTAAACACAGTGCAGAAGTAATTATTAACTATTCACGTCTACTTCGACACTACATCATCAATTTATACATAGGTACTAATAATCTAAATTTGTATTCATATAATAAATAATCACCGTAGCTGCGATAACTATTTATTGGCTATTGTGCCGGGCGCCATTGTTCTTAGAACAACGGAACAATAATTTGCATAAGCATTTGCACCGGAATTCGCGTTTGAACCGTTTGATGTAGGCACTTAACGTAAATTAAATTTTTGATTCCAAGCGTAGCGAAGAATGTATACGCAATATTTAATGGTTTCATTATGACGTAGTTCTTTTTCTGTCTGTTAAGAACACTGGTCTACCAGTAATCAATTTTAAAGGTGGTTTCTGTCACAACATTTAGTCTACTTGATGTGTTAGGGAGATTATTTTTTGATTTTCTATACAGTTTAATTACAAATTGGGAAGAAAAAATAGGAAAAATGGCAACATTTACGACATTATCGATTTCGTTACTTTTTATAATACTATCTACTATCAATACAGTGATATCAAGGCTGGTAAGTGGAAACTAAGTACGTAATTACGAAAGTACGAAACTAATTGGAATATTTTATCTTTAAATTTTGATAAACTGAACATTGGCATTCGAACCAGGCGTGTATCGGTCAGCCGAGGTATCGGAAATTTCTGGGTGGGCCCTTTTCACATCGGCTCTTGATTTATACACGTTTTTCTATTCCTATTTCCTTAAATTACCTATTATATCTTTGTGATTTTTTAGGTAGATTGGCGCTTGAAGAATATTTACCATATTTGTTCATAAGTAGCCCCTATTTAATAATCTCCGGATACGAAAATAGAACCCAGTACGTGCCTGATTCCAGTGGATGGGTCAATTGAATTATCGTTCGTCCTTTTGACAATTATCATTCGATGTATTCGGAATACGATGCCATTCGTATTGACACCTACTTGTAAACGTGATTGCGTCCGTTTAGATGTTCGAACAAGGTAGTTGAATCGTTTTTAACAGACGAACTATTTTTGTCATAAATTCAACGAGAAAGGTATTTGTTATTCCGTTATTATAATTAGAATTCAAAATGATTATTAAAAGCAAAAGAGCAAAACTCTCAACGTTTAATAACCGTCGTAATTCTATTTTATTTGGGAGATATCGATTTTGGAAAAATCCCATTAAAAGTAACGGAATCGGAAAACAATTTCGACCATATGCATTTATGTTTAAAAGTATTAGATATTGTTACAACACCCGTTTATATAATTACGAATATTATTCAACCGAGCAGATATACATAATATATTAATACTAATATCGATTATTTGAAGTAGAAAGAAAAATTGTCTGCTGGACAGTATATTGCATAGGTATCGCATGATATACACTACAGTCAATCTTCCTTGCCAGTTCATATCCAAACAAGCCGTCCCAAGGGTAACGCTTGATTTTCTATTGCGTAGTGTATACTTTGCACTGGACCATCAATATTGTACATACGTACGATGCCTACGTAATATAACCCTTAATTTAATTATATCCACAATAAAAAATATATTTAAAATACTGTTTTACATTTAATCAACAATGTTGTTCACATCCATATGTTCCACCGATAATTCACCACTCTTACTATTTTCTTTTATTCTCGGGCAATCATTTTCTGCAGGATCATTCCATGTTTGTACTTCGCCTGATCCAAATAACACATAGATTACGGACGTCGATGTCATTATTATCAACATCGTCCAAAATACTAGACGCCATTCCAAAAGGGTTCTCTGTAATGATAAAACATTACTAAAGAAATTTAAAGGAGGACAAGCGATATAGGTTATGAATCTTTTAATTATGAGTGCGTACGTTTGGAACAAGAAGTCCCGTAATGTAAGGGGACGCCATTCCAGACAGACATCCAATGCTGTTTGCCAGTGCGATTAAAGTAGACGCATAATTGGGTGACAAGTCGAGGGGATTAATACAAATACTAGAAACGCAGAATCCCCAGAGCGCCATACTCACGGTGAAGCACAAGATAGCCATCATTTTATTGCACCCTATAAACGAAGCACACACAACGCCCAATCCCGGACCAAAAGTTCCTGATAATAAATAAAATTAATTTTAAATTCGCTATAAGTCTTTCTATGTAACAAGGTGATGTTTACACTAAAACCTTACCGATAATAGCGTACGTTTTTCTAACCGCAGTGATGCCCATCACTCGTTTACTTACAAGTAGATCGGCCAGAATACCGCTTAAAACCATCATGGTCCATTGGACCAAGTACAGAATTGACGATAATACTCCGTTCTGTATGAAAAAAGTTATTACGAATTACAAACCGCATAATATCACGTTATTGAAATGTACTTCTGTCACGGAAAAATGTAGGACGTCATTCATATATTTGGGAAGATCACTACCGATCGTATAACCGCCCCAATCGGCACCAATACCCGAAATTATCGCTGCCCATAACGGACCCGACGTCAATATGGACTTCCAAGGAGTATCCGGCAAATCCTATAATACATGTAGACATTATTAAAAAAATATAATACTAAAAAAAGAGCTGATATTGATATAGCTGTGCCACTGTTATTCATACGAAAGTTGAGAAGGTAAGACACATTGAGTTAACTAATTTATATCTGTACGCAACGATAAATTATTACTAATTAAAAACGATTCTGAGCAAAGTTCGGCTATGTATGTTTTTAAATGCTGCAATTTTTTTGATTTTCATCAAAATTTGAATTTATAAAACGCTTGTATATAAAAAAAAAAAACGAAATTGTTTTCTAACACAAAAAAAAAGATTCTATCTGATCCCATCCACGCCGTGCCGTCAGTGTACACTACGCTGCTAATAGATGCACCAACGTCCTATTTGACGTAATTTAAATGATCGGTACTATCAACGTTGCCCAAATTATACCCTCTACACCTGCACCACCTCAATCGCCGCTATAATTTGATAACAGCGCGTATCATTCTACGTGAAACGCTGTAATATAAAAATTTTAAATGTCTGAAAATACCTCAAAAGTCACCAAAATGTGTTGAATTTTCCCATAACGATAAAAGGCTAATATAAGTATTCTGTGATTATTTTTAATCGATTTGCAACAAAAATAGAAAATCTAAAATAATAAAACCGTTAATTTTCCCGTTTTCCATACGTTTTTTTCAGTTATAAAATACATATATTTAAAATATATTAAAATATACATAACTACATCGAAAATTCTACAAAAGAGCTCTATTGTTGTTTATGGATTGTAGGAAAATTTTTGATAGAAACTTCTTCACAGACATAAAAAAAAAAAAATCACATCATAGTAAAACCAGTACATTCCTGGCTCCGCTCAAGATCTAAAAATCGACTTAACCTTTTTTCTTTCCAGACTCCCGATAGAATTCTGTAAGTATTCAAGCTCTGCGTCAGATATTAATGGATGCGATTTCGGGTCGTTATAAACGAGCATACACCAGAATACAAACCAGACGATCGTGATGGAGCCAAAGAAGTAAAATACGTTTGGCCAACCACCGGGTACGTAATGTATTATGAAGCCACTCAATAAGTTACCGAAAATATTACCGACTGTTATACCTGTGACAATGTAACATACCAAATAATGAAATGTAATTTTTAAAAATGTTATTTTGGTCACAAACTATATTGTTCACAGTGGCGAATTCTCCAGGCATGCTCCACTATAAAAATATAAACAGTAAATACAACAGTTGTGTCATTCTATCATCGATTCTAAAGGTCTAACGTAATATTTTGAAACAGCAATAATATTTGACAAAAATCTCGTCTACATTTATCTGTATTTATTATGATTTTATCGTTACATTTTTTTGACAAAACATGCGAAAGCACGTGCGCTAGCTATACAATGTTTATTATTGTGATGAAATACCAGTTTTTCCGAGGTTAGCCCGATCCACTAGAAGCCACGGTACTAACCATCTGGGGCATATTTTGTTTGTCGCGCTTTGTCAATGAATCGTATTATTAATATTTAACTGTACCGTTTAACTCATCCGTGTTCTGTATTTTAGTTAGTATATTAGTTTTTAAAGTATACATAGATCATAATATACAATATATTATAATGACCTAATGCCTTTCCAACGTACCTACATCAAACTGCAGGCCCTCTCTCTTTGGATTTTGCGTTTTAATAATATCCCCGCCATTTAGTAGTCGCGTCATTTTTTTTTTTGTATTAGTTGACACATTTCAGAATTTGTTTGGACGATTGTTATAACCGAAATAACGAGCGGGGGAGCTGTAGAAACATTTCACTAGCCCACGGATTTTAAAAATGTACATTTATTTTATTTTTGTATATCTTACCACCGCCGTAACTAAAACAATAAGTGGGTAAAGTAAAAACTTTAGCATGAGATCTAAAAAGAATTAACGAATTTTGCACAATAAAATAAAGAAGAAGGAGTTTAATATATAACAAATATATTCAAGTTACACAGAAATAGTTAGTAATGATATTAAAAATAATTTTTATTTCATGTCTTTAGTTATAAAATTGTATCACACTATCTCAAAACGCATGGTATGGGTTTTAATAATGTACGAATACAACGTATGAGAAACGTGTCTACACCCATTCGCACAATATTTTAGTTAAAACAGGCCATAGGATGTCCAAAAAAAATCTGAAATATGAAAAAAAAATTACGCACTAAATAATGGGGGTATAAGAAAATCCGAAATCCAAAAAGGAGAGAGGGAGTGTAACGTTCATTGATTACTAATCATTTTTCAAAAAGACCTTTTACTGAAACGAAACTGTATTACTAAAATATGATAAATGACCATACACGTGCTTTGGAGTCAACATTCACCACTGATCGCTTTCCATGATTGGTTGTCATAAGAGCATGCAATAAGATACGTTACCTGCGAACACCAACGTGGAAAGCATTCCTTTTTCTTCAGGCGGTGCCCATCGTGCCAGAAGCATGAACATCGACGGAAATACAGCGCCCTAAACAATTTTGGTAATTCGTAGATACGATCTAATATCGACGAAACAATGATTGATCAATGTTACTAACTTCTCCGAGGCCTTCGATGAACCGCACGATTATCAGCGGCGTGGAACCCATGCGTGCCACGGTCGGAGTCATCAGAGTGAAAATGGCGGAGAACAGCAGTCCGAAACCCATGATGAATTTGCCGCCTATATTTTGAACCAAGATTCCGAACGGTAAATGCGTAATTATGTAACCGTAAAAAAATGCCGAGAGCACCATGCCCTGCGTTTTCTCGTCCCAATCGAACCGTTCGCTGCTGTCCACCGCGACGACGGCGGCGGTCCTGTTGGACATGCCGAAGTCGTCCGGCATCGGGCAGTAGTTTTGTTCCGACTTTTCACTCGATATGTTGATTTGTAAACCACTTCCCGTGAGCACGGGCTTAACCATTTGGGTAAGAGTTATGCCCAGACAGGCCCTCATCATGTAAGCCATTGTCATTCCTAACATTCCCATCACGGCCAGTACCCATCTCTGAGACACGTGTCCTGCTCAAAATCGATACGTTTGTTCAGATAAATATGTTTTCATTATTTGAATATTACAGTAATTTTTGAGTGGGATAAAGGTAAAACAGGATATAAAGTTCAATCTGTACAAATAGTATCAAAGACGGAAAAAAAAATCTAAATCTAAACTTTCTTTATAAAATAAAATTATGAAACTATTTTTTATAAGAAATATTAATACTATACTTACGTGGATGAATTTTCATTATGATAACGTTATGATGTTATCCAGCGGTTTCTGTTTTTAATCAAAAGTTTTCGGTTACATTAAATAAGTCTGTGCGTTTAATTATCCTAGTATAAATAAAAGCAATGGTCGAAAAACTTTACTACCGCGACGTGGGTTATAAGTGTATTGCAGTTTGACGATTTACATCACGTCATTTTTAATGTAAAATATATTATTTCAAGACAAAAGTCAGTTTTTTCAAACTTATTGACCAAGACGTAATATTAAATTGAATAGAGTCTGTCTGATGTTAGTGATAATTTAACCGGTATCAATAAACATTAAATTATTAATTGTATCGAAATATACAGTATAGGTACTGTCGGAACGAGTTGGCGATTAAAAAACGTTTTATTTACGTTTTATTATACATTCTTAAACGTCGTATCTAAAGTACAGTTATCTAAAGTAAAGTAACATGTAGAGTTATTGATAAACGATTTATTGACATAGTTTTTAATTTTTTTTTTTTTTTTTTTATGTAGACCATTTTATCGAAATTGTAACTACACGATTACCTATTTAATTCAATACACGCGCTATTCTAATCTTTTTACAACTGTATTGATCATCACGTAGGACCTATGTAATTTCACCGAAAAAATTGTAACGTAACACGTCTTCACTCTGACGACGTACCTTCAGTGTGTTTCACGAAACTAGTGACTCCGCAGTAGCGCCTTCGGTGGCAGATTTTCGTGAGGGTTCCCTACAGCTGTATAGTATTTCAAATTGTTGCACGTATTTGTGTATATTGTGTGCACGTTTGAGAAACTCCGCGGAACACGGGAGATTCACTACCGGGAGCGCCATTGGGGAGTCACTAGTCTCGTGAAACGCACTGTGCATATTTTTACAAAAAAAATTAAGAAAAATTTGTTCTTAGGTTTTATTACACTCGTCCGAATCATTATTTCGTGCGCTGTACGCAGAATATTCAAACGATTTCCTGCCTACATAAGAGTATTACCTTTCGTTCGGAAACTAACATTTATAATGACTTTCAGTAATAATATTAGCATAGATCAAATAACACAATATTCGTATTAGTTCACAATTTGATAGTACTTTGAAATATGAATAAAAATAACTACCAATTGTTCTAATCGCAAAAATAATTGTATTACATTGAATGGAATTGAATCAGGTAAAACGAACGTTGCAGTTCAATAATTTAGTATGTAATATTGCTTAGTTATTTTATCAAATAATAACATTATGCAGTTATGCAACTTGTCTGCTGCATATCTAAACACGCCAGTTCATTGATAGTGATTACTGATTAATACTATTAATTGATAACAATTCCTGATAACTTATTACCGGAAACTACATTATGAGTTATTTCTGTGCCTAATTAATTTTTTTTTTTTTTTATCAATTTATTATAATAATGGCTAATAAATATTTTGGTGCCCCATCATTTTACCAAAATTATACAAAACCCGGAATAAATGTACCCATTATCTTAACACAGTCCTGTATATGTTTCCGATTTTCTATATTTTCTTTACAAAATCCGGTACATAATGTTTTTTTATCCGTTCGATATAATATCGTTAGACCCAGACAAAATGAATCCCGGCTAACTCAGTTCTACTTTATCGATTTAATCGTCTATTTAATGGAAGCGTGTAATGATTTAAACAAAATGCGCTAACCCAACCAAATTGTTAAGATGTAAAAATAAATCGAGAATAACTACGCGTCTGCACTCGTACGCGTATAATAAGTATTAAGTACGCGTATGAAAACAGTCGTACGTACCAATAGATTAAAATAATGCCCTAGTGTATTAAATTTACGGTCGTTTACAATATAATAAATATAGTGTCGGGCATTATTTATTGTCGGGTCTCGAGTCATTATTTCATTGAAACGTTCCGCGAGTATATTATCAAACTGCACTCGAAAATCCACACGGCAACCCGGTATTACCTACAGTATTTACAGCTGCAGCAAACACGTATTTCGTTCATAATTTAATTTTAATTTTAAAAAAAAATCACTTCACGTTCGATCTCGTCATCGCGTGCACTCGAAATGTTTGAGTTTAATAAAAGTGTAGAGAGTAACATTAGTCATATTCTAGAAATTTTTAAGTGATTATTTACTGGGTGTCCACTTTTTTTTTTTTGTAAAGTTAACTAATTTCAAAAAATGAAAATAGTAACCTTTATTAATTATTATATGAAAAAAACAAAAACAAATTATAAAATCAATATAAATAACCAAATAAACATAAGTACATAACATGTATAAACATGGCATAAATGATGTAAGAACGACAAACTATGTTCTAAGATATTATATTTAAAAAAAAATTAATAAATATTTTATCCATCGTTTGTTGTTACCGTCACAAATTTACATATCTATATACATCTTTATACAATTAAAACTCAACATGTTTACTATTTACTTTATTTAAACTTTATAGCGTAATGATAGTTAATGCAACTAGTAGGCTGATGTGTTGATGGATGGTGAATACTAAATACTTACTATAAGATGACCGCCACGGCGCCACTGGGAATATACGGAATATGATAATACAAAATCAGAATTGATGGTAACCACCAGGATTAGGTTTCAATAGTTTCATCATAGATATCATATTAACACAGAAAAATACGATGATGGTAGTTATATTATATCTTGTATAACGAATAAAAATATAAATCTGCAATAAATATTTAACGTTAACTGTGACTTTTTTTTTTAGATTACTAATCAATTTCATCAAACTTAACACGGATATGTGTATTTTCAGGGACGATCTTCAATATTCGGGTGTATATAGATTTTTTTTTTTTTTTTGTTAAAATACATAATATATAAGACATTTTCAGAGGTTTTTAATTTTATCATTTCCTATTCGTGGAAACTTTCTGATAAAACTTAGATCTTTAAAGATATAAAAACAATAAGAACATCATATATGTATTTCTGACACTGCACGTACTTCGATAGACATTTTTAGTACTCGAGTACTATAGTGAATATTATATAGTGTGGTTGAATTAAGTATTATTTTTGAAGTTTTAATTGAAAAATATTATTTACAAAATGCCTGTATAGAATATAATGAATATTTTTAAATTACCAAAGTAAAGTAACAATAGCGTCTATAGATGAAAACGTCTGAAAGTTTTAATTACTTTAATGTATAAAATACAATTGTTCTTGAATACTAGTTTATTTTTATTTTTATACAACTTTTGTATATTTTCAAGCTTTGAACGCGCTGTGTGCAATTTAATATCTAATTGGTATTTTATTATAATTTGTATTATTTTTAATATCGCAATAATTCTTCGGTTTATTTTTCTCTACAAAACAACCATTTTTTTATTGTGGGAAAGGTAGTAACAAAAAAATCAAAATCGGTATTTTTGTTAAACGAACAATAAATTCAAAATATATAAGTTTTAATTCATTGTTAATTATAATACAGTAATATTATAGTTAATAGATTTCGATAGTGAGGTGAGATATGGTTTTGCTGTTAAAAACGACAGTTTTGTTTTTAATCCACTAAAAAGTAAGGTTTACTATAAAATATACGTACACCTTTTTATCAAATATCAAATACATAAATCAAATACACATGGTTTTCTGTCATCCCGATTATAATAAAAATAACAGAAAAAATATAAACATCATTGTAAAACCAATACATTCCTCGCTTCACTCAGAATCTAAAATAAATGTACATGCATTTTTATTTAAATAAATCACTAATGAATATGGCAATACTGTATAATATGTGATAATTTTTAAATACATTTGAACAACTAGTATTTGCTAATAATTATAATAATGATAAACAATGAAATATTTAAATATTTAATATCTAAAGTGTAAAAAAAACATTTTTTTTTTTTTTAATGCCAATTATAATTTTTAATAATTCTCTACTACTTTCTCTCTACCCAAAAATTGGGTAGAGATTTTTAACATTTTATTTTCGTAAACGGTTATGATACATTGCTAAATAAAAGGCAATTCAATGTTTATATACATACCTACTAAACTCGTATCGATTGGTCAATAAACACTACAGCATACCACTAATTTAGTTTAATTGCTCATGGCTGTATTGCATGATGAAATCGAGTTTTAATGTAATTGTTTTGTTATTTCAGTAGCATAGAAGTTCCTACCCAAGGTAAATGTACACAACTTTTGGAAGTATAAATTTGAACCTAACCTCAAGTAACAAATACACAACCAATAAAGTATAGACGCCAAAAATAATAATTTTACATAATTAGATATACAAGGTAGTCCATTAAAGTGAGTACACTCATTATTTCGAAATGGAAAAGTATTAACTTTTTTTGGAATTTTACATTGATGTTGTTTTTTATCAACATTATCTTTTGGAAGAAACATCTACTTTTGATTTTCAAATGACAACCTTTATTAATAATTCCGCATATAAATGTAGTATTAATTTAAATTCATTTTGGTGATGACATTTTTTATTTCTGTCATCCTATTGAGATATTCCACTCTTAAGTGGGAGTATTGAGTATAGGAAGAGAGTAGTGGTATATAATTTATGTGGCAGCACGGCGCACAGCATTTGAATAGTACGTCATTACTCTCCATCTTACCTAAACGTGGAAAATTAAAATAAAAACATGGAAAATTAAATTAAAAGTGGAAAATCTCATCAACGGGTTGACGGAAATCAAAAATGTCAATACAAAAATGCATTTAAACTAATACTCCATCTGTTTGTGGATATTTTTTAATAAAAATTACTATTTGAAAATTAAAAATTTGGTAGTGGTTTCATCTCAAAAACTATGAATGACAAAAGATAACTAACATAAATGTAAAATTGTTAAGCTGCTTGTTTCTTAAATGGACTAAAAAATAAACTCCGAAAAAAGTTAGTGCTTTTCGAGATAATGACTGTACCTATCTCTCTGGATCTTATATTATTGCATTATATTTTCGGACACATGTAACCTCCCCTAAAATAAAGTATTTTCCCCTAAAAAATATTTTGTTACCGAATTACACATATGTAAATTTCCCTAGATAAATTATTATGCATGTAACTGTTTTTATGGTTAAAAAACAAATATTATACCCATACATTTTTATTTCTAAATATAGAACAAAAAAACCAACAAAAATATTAAACATTTTATGAAAAACTTAAAATTGGCTCAAATATTTTTAAAATTTTACCATGTCTAGAAAAAACAAATATAACTTTTCTGTCCACATTTTAAGTCTCTGCGAATATTTTTAACTGAATTATAAAAATTAACAAAATTGAAAAATAATAAATAATAAAGTATC